AAGGGGGAAACCTGGTACATACCCCACCACTCGGTATCGCATCCCCGTAAGCCCGGTAAAGTGCGAGTGGTCTTCGATTGTCAAGCTTCATACCGTGGTACTTCTCTCAATCAACAACTTCTATCTGGTCCCGATATGTCAAACAGTTTAGTGGGGACGCTTTTACGGTTCAGGTTTCACCCGATCGCCGTCGCGTCCGACATTGAAGCAATGTTTCATCAGGTCAAGGTTCCTATTAAGGATCGGAATTGTTTAAGGTTCCTGTGGTGGAAGAATGGCAATCTTTGTTCACCACCTATTGAATATCGCATGACTGTACATCCGTTTGGCGCTACTTCGTCACCAAGCTGTGCTAACTTTGCATTACGACAAGCTATCCTTGAGAGTGATTGTGAATCTCAAACAAAGGCTAAAGAAGTAGCAGAAAACTGTTTTTATGTCGATGATTGTTTGTTTAGTGTTGATTCTGTTCCCGAAGCAACTGAACTCGTTATACATCTTACCCGTATTCTGTCTGACGGAGGATTTCATTTGACGAAATGGATCAGCAATCGAAAGGAGGTTATCGCGCATCTACCTGACTGCGAACTGAAGGTTCCTGGAATAAGATATTCGACTGGGGAAGATTGTGTTACAACTGCGCTTGGTTTAAACTGGAACGTTACCCAGGACCACCTAACTTTTCTGCTGGAAGGTTTTAATAAAACGTTGACCCGAAGAGCCATCCTCTCGTTTATAGCTTCCGTTTATGATCCTCTCGGCCTCATTGCTCCCGTGCTACTTCCGGCAAAGCTATTGTTACAGAGCTTCGTAAAAAGGAAGCTGGATTGGGATGAGCCTCTTCCCGCAGAGGATCAGCAAGCTTGGAGCAAATGGTTATCAAACGCCAATGGTCTGAACAACTTGTCCGTTGAACGTTGTATTAATCCATTCGGATGCAGTGTATCTTCTGTGCAGTTGCATTGTTTTTCGGATGCGTCTGAGGCTGGTTACGGTGCTGCTCTATACTTGCGTTGCGAGGTTGATGAAGGCAACGTTAGTAGTTCCCTGATTATTAGTAAATCACGTGTCAGTCCCATTAGAACGGTGTCGATACCGAGGTTGGAGCTCACTGCTGCCGTACTGAACGTGCGCATGTCAGCGAAAGTCATAGAGGAGATGGCACTCCATTGTAGCACAACGTTCTGGACAGACTCGATGGTAGTTCTTAAGCTTCTTCGAAGTGTTAATGGGCGTTTTCCGACGTATGTCGCTAACCGGATTACCACTATACAACAATACTCTCACCCCAGTCAGTGGCGTTACGTAAATTCGAAGCAGAACCCGGCTGATATAGCCTCACGTGGACTCTCGACGTCGCTCAAGAAGGAAATACACCAATGGTTACATGGGCCACAGTTTCTCGTTCAGCCCCCTTCCTCATGGCCTATGTATCCGGAGAATCTGGGTGAATTGCCGCTTGAATGGTTACGACCTGAGTGTGGTCATGTTTTCTTAGTCACCTTGGAGGAGCACTGGATTAATAAATTTAAGGCTTGCCCGACATGGACTTCCCTGCGCAAATATTTCGTTACCTTGTTGCGATTCAAATCTTATTTCGTCGCCAAATACTTGAGGCGCGCTGCACCTGACCAACCAGCTAAAATAGAAAGTGCTGAAATTCGACAAGCTACGCTTCAGATAGTTAAGTTGGTGCAGTCAGAAGCTTTTGCGGAGGAGATGCGCCTCCTTGCATACAACGAACCCGACATACCAGTTCGAAATTTAAAATCCAGGTCATGCAGATTAAGACGACTCAAGCCCTTCCTCATTAATGGGATACTTCGGGTGGGCGGAAGGTTGGATCAACTCTCGGTACCATATGACGCGAGACATCCGATTTTACTTCCCGGCCGCCACTTTGTCACTCGCCTTCTTATACTTCACTACCACTACATCAATGGACACTCTGGTGCGCAGCACACGTTATACGATCTTCAACGACGCTACTGGATCTTGGGTGGGCTTTCATCCATAAGGCACTTGCTTTTTAAATGTGCCAAATGCCGCGTTAACCATGCGAAGCCACTGAGTCAGCTGATGGCACCAGTGATAACGGACCAATGTCTGACCTACCAACCAGCGTTCACTGCAGTGGGGATCGACTATTTTGGACCGCTGATAGTTAAACGTGGCCGAGTACATGAAAAGAGATATGGCTGTTTGTTCAGTTGCTTGACTACACGGGCTGTTCACATAGAGGTTTCCCACTCCATGGATACCGATTCGTTCTTGTGCGCGTTTTCGAGGTTTTCAGCTAGACGCGGATGGCCGAATGTAATATACAGCGATAATGGACAGAATTTCCACGGAGCTGAAGCAGAATTACGCAATCTTCTGAAGCAGCTAGATCAGACGAAGATCACAAAGTCTATGTTGGCTAGAGAGGTTGACTGGAAATTCAATCCTCCATGTGCTAGCCATCGCGGAGGTCTTTGGGAACGATTAATTCGATCGACTCGTGAATTATTACGGAACATTCTCAACGGCGAGGTTGTGACCGAAGAGGTACTTGTAACGACACTCACCGAGATCGAAAGGATATTGAATGACAGGCCTTTGGTAGCGGTACCTGACTCCCCGGACTCGCAAGATGCTATATCACCTCGGCAACTACTAACGCTTTCAAATGACCAGTCGCTTGAATACCCACCGATCAATTTACCAATCAAAATGAGCAGAAGGTGGAGACAGGTAAGACATCTGTCTGATATGTTTTGGCGTAGGTGGATTAGAGTATACCTACCGACACTGCAGAATAGACAGAAGTGGTTAAATGAAATTAGAGATCTTAGACAGGGCGATTTAGTGTTAGTTTGTGATTTACGCACATCAAGAGGTCTGTGGCCTAAGGGTGTTGTGGAGCAAGTTATCAAGAGCAAAGACCAACTGGTTCGACAAGCACTGGTGAGGACTAGCAAAGGCATATTGCGAAGAGACGTCAGACAGCTGTGCCTACTAGAAGCATACCAGGAAGAAGAGAATGATGCCGTGGAAGCCATCGTCCGGGATAGGAAACCGCCGGGGGAGTGTAAAGTCCAAAAGGAACTTTGATGTATCCCCAAACTGGATTGCTTACATGAGGACACGGTATCTCTTTTCCCTGATTATCTTGCACATTTACACTGCTTTTCTGTGTTTTACAAGCGGTTAACATATCGCATATTTATTTCTTACACTCCATCACTGACACATCCTTGAGGTTTCAAGGTCATTTTTATTATTATGTTACTGTGACACTGCCCAAATACTCGATCCGCCCCACGCTGGACAGTTTCTGCCCACTTGCATTACGATTGCGAAACCTATTCGTAAGTCATGTACTGTATTTATTATGCCTTATAGAACCACGGTTACAGGATAATTCGTTTTATTCTTCTGCCCAGACCGTGCGTTAAGTCTAGGTTTATCTGTTCGTAGTTTCTAGTTTAGTTTTCGTACGACGTACTTAGTTTAGGCTTAGTGACGTTGGTACAGGTACAATCTATCTCCGAACTCGACCCTTCAGGGATAGACGGTTTATTCAGCAAAGCAATCTCAGCGAAGATGACAGCATAACTAGCTGGTAGAAGACTCCACGTGTATATAACTAGTCCGCTTCCATTATTAACTACATTCGCAAGATTATTCATTTGCTCCGTTCAAACAAATTCACTCCAGCGGAGCCAAATAGTAACCAAACAGCGTAGACGCGCTCCGTTCGTTTTCAGCTATCTATCTGTTTGTTTTGTCACATAAAGCCGTCTCATCGCTATCTAGCGTGGTTAGAGTTCGGTTGAACTCAGTTGACCAACTGGGATGCGTGCACCGACCGCACACCGACTAAAGTAACAACAGCAGTGTAAAGGGTACTACTAATAACCATTCGGCAAAACGAATGGATCAAAAGCCAAATTATCAGGTGGATTGATTAAGCATGTGAAATGAGGGAACGAACGCATGAGCCTTATAGACCCCGTCATTGTGACATTCCGGCCGGGGGTCGCGAAGTGCTTCAGGCATTTGATTTGTAGTCCGTGGGTCCTCGTGAGTGTATGGGAGTACGCGGTATCCAAGCCCACATGCGATCGCTGGTGGTCGCGCAGCACCGAACAGTTCTCACATACTGTAAATACCTGCTTTCGGCGTTCCATAGCCTGGTGTTCATAACACGCAGCGGATGTGTTGCGGTTACGTAGAGTGAAATCGGTGGCAATGCAGCGTTGCAAAAGTTTTGCCTAAGCAAAATACTTAGAGCTCGATGTTTCCATAAATAATAAGGACTTATCTAGCTTATCGCAATTAAATTGCAAGCCAGGTAGGCTAACTACTAATCCGGAAAAACACCAGATGGTCGTCTCGCCCTTTAAGGACGCGTCAGCAGTGCACATTCCCACGGTCCTCTTCAGGGAACCGAACCTGTGACAGGCAGTGGATTGCGCCACCAGCCAGCAGCTTAGACCACTGGGGGACGATAGGCGACCATTGTGGAGTGCAATCCAGCTTAACACATCAATGCGATGCAGGCCACTGCCCGTGCAGAGGACATTGGTCGGCCCTCGGTGCGATGGATTTCCAACCAGTTGCCGTGAGTTCACATGGCATTATGAAGATTTATGGTTAATTTGTTGACTACTCATGAGTAGGCATCCACTAAGTAAATCGCACCGAATCCCCAACCTATGAGTGATGACAATATTGAAAAAGCTCGTGCCTTCACAATGCATACGGTAACACCTTCGGTGATGATATAGCTATTTAGATGAACAAAACGGACGACCAATGCAAGTGCTTGTTCCATCATGATTGCGAACAATGGTAATGAGCCGGCATAGTCCAAAGACGACACCGTACAATTCGAAAATGAGTACATGCCAAAGCGTGCAGCACCGCCATACATCAGTCCATTCAACAGCACAGTTAGACTTAAAGACAACTACTGCCTACACGTATTCTAAATGCGTGCAAAAGACCAAACTCACCTTGGCAGAGTTCAAAAGCAGATGTCCATTAGTTAGAACAGAGCGAGGCCACAAATTTGGCTCATTTGGCCAGATAGCGGTGTGATTGTACAAGTAGTATGTTAAATGATTTTGTATTAGATCCTTCCCACTGCAACGCAAGTCGACCGGGTACCAGAAGAGAAATTCTTCGCGCATACGCTTCAACAATGGTACAGTCAATGAGGATGTGTGCTGCTCTGCGATGATACGCGCAGGGTCACCTTTTCCTAATAAGACGTAATCCCACACTTCCGGAGTGATGTGTTCGGGTCTATGTGGGAAATGGGAGAACAACAAGAACTGGAAGAGATGAACAACGCATCCATATGGAGGTGGTCATGTTGGGCCAAATGAGCAAAGTCACAGTAATATGAAATAATGCAGTGACACTGTGCATAAAGTATCGCCGAAACCCACAGAGCATAAGCAACATCAGTACAGTTTAGCTAGACAATAACGAGATAACGGTGCCGTGACACGCATGATAACAATCGCCATATATGCCGGAGAAAATGGTGTAGAAAGGAAACAAACTTCGGTGTTCATCGCACCAAATTAGATAGCCGTCCACATTGCCCGGAAAAGCATTAGATTGCAGTTTCAGCTAATTGGGGGTCATCAGTAGTGCGTACCCGGCGGATTCATCAGGATTCAAACGCATGACCACCAGCGGCCTGCACCGTCAATCATCAAAAGTAAAAGAACTTCATAAAAAGTGGCTTATGTTAGTCGGACTGTTGTTGATATCAGCAGGAGTGACGATGAGAGTTCGCGGCTGTACCAACCACTGAAGTGTATCATATCGATGAGCATATTCCACAATGATATCCACCTGAAGATAGTCAGGTCTTTCGGTCATTCTCATGTCACGCCATCGACTGGCCACCTCATGAGTTCCGCTAACATGGTGCAGCGACGATGAACAGTGCACAATGAAGAAGACGATCGACGGGCGTATGAAGAACATAACCCAGTCAAGATAAATGAGTAAGATTCAGCAAGCACTCCAGTAAAGATTCCCTGCGAAAAAACACTTGTTGGACTTCAGCACTACCCACCCGGTGTTCCCACCAGATGTGAGCAATATTCCGCAAGTACTGATGGTCAAACAGAGTCAAGCGTTGAATGCCTCAACCATGAGCTGGCCAGGTTTATGATCCATACAACCACACTCTACCTTTCACTGACAGAATGATGTCTTGCCGTCTCCAAAGATGGCTGAACCTCTGAAAAGCCACACGAAGCTTGCTGATACATGAAGTAACTACCTCAGTGATGTGACTACCACAGGTAAGTGAACCGATCCACCATTACCAGTACCTGTTCGGAGCCAGTCCGTAGCCTTAAGGATCACAAGCCTGCCTTTTCCTCCCAGGGCGCGGATTCGAGCCTGCATTAGGGGACCAGGTGACTCTCGCAGTATCATTAGCCTAAGTGCGATCGGTGGTGGCTGCGCGGCAGAGAAGTGTCGGTACTGCGAACCGGATGTGTGAGCGAAGTTGATTAAAAAAGCGAGCGAATGCAGAAGGGGCGCACAACTTCTCGACACATTGTGCCAGTGAGCACTTCAAGTAGCATAGCATACCAACAGCAGTACATGGGTACTTCAAATACATGCTTAACTGTCAAACAACCATAGGTAATGTCATCATCATCGAGGACAACAACAACAATATGTAAGTCATTGGGACCGATGCTTAGCTATCGCACAACCACAACTAACTAAGGAATGGATGATAATAATAATAAGCAAATATTTAGGGTCCGGAAGCCTCTATACTTTGTCAACAACACACATTTACAAAAAGCTGGCTATCGTGCAAAGATAACCGGTCCGCAGCCTAACGGTAACGGGCTTGTCTTGTAATCTGGAGGCGCGGGTTCGAGCCTGCATAGGAGCAGGGCGACTTTCGCGGTATCCTTAGCTCACATTCGACTGGTGATGGTTGCGCGGCAGCGAAGCGTCGGTACTGCGTATCGGCGTATTGCTGATGCATTGCAAAGATAAGGCGGCATCGGCGAGACAGCTTAGTTGTGACTTTCACAGCCCCGTGTCATAATCAGCCATTACTCCGCGGATAACACGGCACAAAACGCACTTTAAACAGGCAGTCTAACTAGGAGCTAAAAGCAAAAGCGACATTGGTACAGAAAACGAGACATATCCTGTAAATTAAACATCAAGCAAAGGTGGATCAAGTAGACTCTAGCCGAGATGGACCAAGAGCACCCAGTTTGGTTGTCAGTAACCTCATTTCTAACTGCCATCCACCTCTAGCAAACAAAACAAGGGCCTTCCCAGTAAGAGGCAACCAGGCATACCTCGTAAGTGCCCAGACCAACGGATCTTATTCAGTTCTATCTGTTGTTCTAAGGAATTAGCCTGATTATTAATGCCTAGTACACGCTTACGCACACCATCGTTGCGGACATGCTACTGCAACTGGGCACTACCAATGCTCCGCAGGAATCTATAGTTAGGGACCTGGATGCGCTTCAGACCCTCAGAGGACGACCTTCACTATGGGCTTGTAAACACAGCTTTTCAGACCGGAGGAAATCGCCTTCTTATGACATAGATGTCGCAGGTTCAGTAAGGGGGGGGGTACTAGCTTCTACAGCAAGTGAACTTATTTCAGCCCATTGCTGATGGTATAGCTGCCATGGGAGGTGGATTGATGAACTACTTGTGGTTCCTGGTTATCAGTGGTCATCAAGTGGCTGGTGCTCTTGCAACGATAGTTTGCGCTTTGGAGGTGCAAAAGGCATACGCAGCACTAAGATTCTCCAACTGCAAAACAATATGGACCGCATAGTGAACATCAACTAGTTTGGAACCAAATGCCATTTCACGCCAGTATCATGAGATCCCGGAAGCCGAGTGTGGTGATCCGACTAATAAAGACTGTGGACCTAAAGAAGAATTTAATCGCCCCTAACAGAGAAATCTTCAGAATCTAAACACCTACACCTTATTTGTTGACGGTTGACTATCGCGTGAAGTTGGGACGGTTCCGGAAAGGCAGGTGCATAGTGAGATTCACTGATTCATTTGTATGTCATGAACAACACCTAACCTTACAAACAACTCAGAATCAAACACAGTTTAGACGAGTAACTAGACAGTGTGTCATTGGTGCCGGTTGCGGACCACATCTTGTAAGGTCCGGAGCCAGGTACAGGGTAGGTATCGTGAGGACGTCTGTCCGACAGTGGAGACAAATCAGTAGCGCTGAAACAAATGACCTCCCTCCGTATCACGTTAGTGCGACTCCGCCCACACAAAGCCCACGCCAACCAGGATCCGGTAAACAGAACCAGAGTCAATCGTGAAGGTCAGCCGCTGTCCCCTATGGCCCAGTGGCACAATATGCTTGCGTGCGCTGAAAGCTGCTAGTGGTCATGCGTTCAGATCCGGATGGATTCGACGGATGCGCACTACTGTACTGACGATACTCAATAGGCCGAAACAGCCGTCTAGTGCTTATGCAGAGATTTAGAGGACCATATGATTTTGGAGTTGCTGAGACGAAGACTGAATTAAAAACAGAGTAGTGGAGCGAGTATTGACCGCGCAAATGTGGCACGTGGTTGTCTAGACATGGAATACGACTACTTCTTGGTCGTCCTTAGAAGAAATCTCCTTGGTAAGAAATACAAGGGTAGATCAATAACCATCAGGATGCAGACGTTTTATTTTTTACAACAAAATAAGCATTATATTTGTTCGAAGTACTCTCCACCGGCGTTCATACGCAGCTCCATGCGCTCAAATCATTTGGAGAAGCAGCTAGATCATGACGAAGCCGGTAGCCATTCAAACAGCTCAATAAAGGCTTCTACTGCATCTTCTGCAAACTCGTAGCGGATTCCAAGCTTCATGAGCTTGAGATCTGAGAACACAAAGTAGTCGCACGGAGCCAGGTCTGGACTGTAAGTTTGTTGACCAACCTTCTGGATGTATTCTCTAGCCAGAAAATATACGACGATAGGGGACCTGTGTGCCCGTGCAGCAAGGTCCATCGTGCTCGAGCCCTCGGATAACGCCTAGCCACAGCTTCCAGCGCTTATGGCAGACAGTGGGTGGCATATAAGTCTCCGGTGACTGTGCGTTGCCGTACGAGCAGTACAGTAGTCACATAACCAGTCTTGGTCACGATCACAGCCATCATCTGTTTGACCACACTGCGCTCACGCCGGAATTTCTGTGGCGCCCCAAAAACTGCCGTCTACAGAGCCGGTTGTTGCTTGATCACTGGGTCGAAAAAGTACGCGCCCAGGACGCATCGTCATTGAAACATCCGCCATCAAACCTGGCAAGCATGCTGCGGCACCAAGTCACTGGAGCTGCTTTCTGGTCCTCACTGTGTTGTGATGGGTTACCTAGCGTGTGCTAACCTTTTGTAAGGCCAAGGTGATGATGCGAATTGGTCCCAATGGCTTTCCATACCTGTATCACAGTCACCGGCGCGTCCTCTTCCAGCATCGCTTGCACTGCAGCAATGTGGTCCGCAGTGGTCACCTCCACAGCTTGACCACACCGTGTCTCATGATCCAGAGACCGCATGCCACGCTCGAATTCCGCAAACCACTCAAACACGATGTGGTTCTTGAAGGTGTAGCATCACCAAACACAGCACGCAATCGCTCAATACTCTGTTGCTGCTTTAAGCCATATAGGTAGCCTAAGAAAATCACCGCCCTCCAGTGACATCGACTGTGTTCCATATTTACAGTCAGAATATAACGACCCTTATGACTGTGAACTGTGTTGGCCTGTTGATATATGGTTGTGGGTTGAAATCACTGAACAATGTTCAGGATGGATTATAGTTCACCTCTTTCTTGCTAGGTCATCTGCACCAAATCTGTGTACTGCGTATCCGGAAACTTATTGCACTGCCCTATTCCATGGGCAGCCTTAGTGGATGCTCGAACCAATGCAACAGATTGGGTGTTAGCAAAATGATTCTTTTCGCCTAGCGTTCTACGGCTCACCTCACTGTAGTAGTCACGCTATATCAAATCAATGCGATGAAGACCCGATAGCTAAGTGAGGAGAATGTGTGGAACTTGCGCAGATCGACAGACAGAAGCAATCATCTAGCCGGCGAACAGTAGAAATGTCCTCAGTTTGGTCCTGAGTACGAGACGTTCGGGACCAGGGCACACTGTGTGGCGCCAGAGGTGGCATTGATCAATAATGATGCTTCTAGATGTCATAGTTTTGTGTAAGATTTGCGGTGCAACGCTTAACTTGTGCTTCAGCTCAAAGCACAAAAAATGGTATACGAGCCGGATCTCATCTGCGCATTCTCCAATAGGACTCACCGAATGCCATACGGACCTGGCCTGTTGCCAAAGAGATCGCCACCTTGCAGCAAGTGTGCCACCGTATAGTAGGACATGTAGATGGTCGAATCGGAAAGTGATTCGATCAGCCACGAGTCATCCCAAGGCAAATGAGAACCGAGGCCGTAGGTACGTGAGCAGGCATGTTCGTGAAGCCAATCCAATGTGGCTTCAAATCCTCGTCTGACCTGGAAATGAACAACACGTAACAAACATGGCGTCAAATGATCGTTGTTGGCTAGAAAAAGCAACTGTCGAGGTTTCGCTAGTTGTGGGAACAGAATATTTCCAAAAAAATCGTCGGTGGCAACTAGACGTAATCGGTAAGAGAATTCGGTGGTAGCTACATAAGAGACATGTGAACGCGAGAAAGCCGAAGATTTTCAGACAGTTTTTCAACCATACTTTGCCGTAACAAAAACGACGGATACACTGAGGCCAGTGTAAACGGATGAATCACGCGATGAAGCAAACTCAGATGGATGTAAACAGCAGAACAAGGGCCCGGCAGGAATAAAGAATCAGAGGATAGAGTGGAGAGATGGAGGCGCAAAATTGCCAAAATGCATGCTTCATAAGAACTTCCTCCACATCCTATGTTGGTGAACATTCGCCTGTTCATGCTCAATCACTCACTCCGTTCCTAAAACCTCGGTGTTGATGATGCTGTGGGCAGCACATTTTCTAAACGACCATGTAAAATATAAGTAGTCAGAGTTGACACCCAGGAATCGCTAGACCCCTGCATCACAAGCGCGGTTATGTCTTACCATTCTGGCTACGGCGGCATTACTAATACCTGTAATGAATGGGTCAAATCTGCACACACGACAGTGGCTGTAAAAAAAATCCCCTTATCCTGTTCGCACCCAACATAGCACTCCACACGAGCGATTTCGTGGTGGTTGGGGCTCTACAAACAGAAAGAGCGGTAAGTGGGAGTGGAACCCGGGGCGTAGCGGATGACCGCAACATCTTGCTCAATACAATCCGTCTCGGTAAGTTGCAACTGGTTTTGGATACGTTATTTTATGTCAACACAGCAGGCCGTGCAGCTAGATATACCAGCATCTTTACGCTCTTCAAATGATCGCGATTAAATCGCGTGAACGCTTGTTACAACTTGGCGGTATTGCGTACAGACACCACTAATTTGGAATACATTCATTACAAAATGCATTAATAGTATCAGTGTTAATTAGATCGTCTATCCCACTGCGAATGAATTCTTTAAATATTTCCACCGTGTGTTAAACAGATCACCGCATCGAAAGTGTTATTCCGCTTCCCTCGTGAATGCCACAGAGAACCAGCTCTTCGGAATAAAACAAAAAGTAAGGTCGGTGGACCCGTGGACATTTGTCACTCAATTCTGAGATTTACTTTCTGGCTGTCTCTAAGGTAGCCTGTGACGATCGAAAAAACATCTTGCTTTCTCGAAAAATTTAGCATAATCCTTATTATTGTTGCTGTTGCTAAGAATAAACCGGATTAGAGCGAGACAGAGTATGTAGCAAAGTAGATATGAAACCATATACCTCCTCAGTAAGTGTCATTTGTTCCAACGCCGTGGTAGTAATCTTCCGCCAATTTTCTTCTCCGTAATCCAAATACCACTGGTCGCACAAAGCAACCACAGCCTCATCGCCACTCCGAGTAATGACTGTACGTTCGGGTTCATAGTAAACGAAGGCATAGCCCTGAAGAAAGAGCAATCAAAATCACAAGGCAAAACATGTCAGACGCAGTGAAGAGTGTGCAGGACACACATAATCGAGTGACAAAACAAAATTGGAAGCAAAGACGACGGTTCCAGTGCAGTTGAGGCCGCGAGAAGGATCTAAAATCATTTTTGCAAAGCCTGGAAGTTTTGTCCCCATTTAAGATCTTTGGATGTATATGGACTGCTTGGTGATGCTAAGGTTAAGTGGACCCAAAATAAGGATCCACAAAAGATAGTGATTCGGAGCCCCCTCGAGGAAGAGAGTTCGGTCAAAACTCGCGATTCCGGTTGAACTGATCTAATCCACTGCTAGGTACGAAGAATCACAGCCAAATTCAGAAGTCAAAGTATAAAGGCAAAAACATGCTGCAGAAAACAGCTACCAAAAATGTGCATTAGTAGTGTTAAACCAGTGGACATTTATACGTCGACCCAGAAATGTTAATGTTTAGCTACATCAGCTGTCCCGATTGGTAGCAGTTCGACTAGCCAATGGGAAGGTAGGTGCGCACGTCATGCGGTGGAAGCTATTGTTCCTGAAAAGAGTTGATTCTTCGATTGTACATCATTAACCGAAATAGTTTTCCTGTTGAAATAATGAGTCTCCCCGGAATAGTTTACTTTCTCCCAGACAGTCCAGTTAAGGTAACCGGTAATATGCTGCTGATCACTGCTGTCGATGTGTAAGGAGCAATAAAAGAAAAAACGAGGTGCGCCCTGAAGAAAGGAAAAAGATTCGTTTGACAACTACGTTCAACAATTGGCAATTTTACTTTGGACTCAGAAAACTAGTTCATAATGCACACAGGAAGTTGGCCCATTGGGGAAAGAAAAACTAGGTTACCCAGGTGGTTGTAGAGGATGCTTTGTCAATTCGTTTCGGGGTAGCGCGAGGGTGATTTGTTCCAACTACGAAGGAAATCCACCACAGACACATTCGATCAGACAAGTTGTACATCCAGAGTACAACCATGAGAAATCATCTTCGAAACTGATCCAAACTAACTGTACAGTACCGCCCCCCCCCCCAAAAAAAACAGTAACTACTCAAGCTCGTTAAGGCCGACATTGAGTGATTGGTAAGAGAAGTCGTGTCACTAAGGATAAGTCATTTCATTCACAACGCACGTGAATGCGGGGATGGGTAGCTCCACGGCGCCGCGATTGGTTCGCGAACAGCGGCTGTCTCCATCAATCCATCCTCCATTAGTCTTAAAAGCACGGTTTCAGAGGGCAGAGTTACAGTGCTTAGCATAAAGAACGCGCACTACTGATAAATCAGAATGGTACAACTCTGAGTGCTTTTCTGGGTGTGTGACGGTCGTCTAGCTGAAAAGAAAAGAAAGGCGCCAGCAGTAAGCCGGTACGCAGTACTAACGCTTCGCTGCCGCGTAACCACCATTAGTCGCACGTAGGCTAAGGAAAGTGCCAGGGTCGCCCGGTCCCTACGCAGGCTTGAACCCGTGTCTTCGGATTAAAAAGCAGGCTGGTGATCCTTAAGACTACGGGCCAGGGCTGAGTATATCGATGATGAATCATGCTTGGAATATGCGATTATTTGTTTCTTTCTATAACGAGTGGAATTTGGTGCACCTCGGATCACAGGCGTCGAATTCTACTGAGAGAAGCTGATCGGTGAGTGCTAAATGCCCATCTCAATACAACCTCTTCGAGGAGCCATAACCGCAGCGAGTGGAGAGAGATTTTCGGAGATCGATGTAATTGTGTGGGCTAGAAACATGACCACTTCCTGCTTAAGGCCTAAGGAAGTTGATTACTAGAGAATAGTAGGGGTACTTTCTGTTTCCGAAGGTGCAAACAGTAAGGAGCTTTCCTGGATGTGTGGTAGATGTCTGATGTGGTAGATGTCTGTGATAAATTTACTCCAATTAGGATACTGGTCATATGCCTCGGCTACAGTGACTGCGTAGTACTGCTCACAGCTAGTGAAAGAACAGTTCGGTGTCTAGAATGAGACTTGTTCCGCCAAGACGAAACCAGAAAACAGCTGTGTAGTAAGATGGTTATTCACGTAAACGGGAAGTTCCACTGTACACCAAAAAAGCAGCGTAAGGCATGCAAAGTCATATGGACACAGAACCAAGTTACCAGTCAACGGTTACGGCAGATGGCTAATAGCAGTAATACACAGACACACACACGCGATGACCGTCTGGCAATGAGTACCAAGACCTCATGATGCTGCACCGGAGTGGGCAACTTACGTTGACGAGCCTATGCCCGCGGTACGCCCGCTGACTGCGCACACCTCGGTGTACGTTACTTGTCGTCAATGCACCCATGGTGGAAAAACCGCGACAGAGTCAAACGATGTTGTAGCAGTGGTTGTCGGCCGGTGATCGTGGTCTGCACGCCTGTCTTGCAATCATAAGGTCACCGGTTCGAATCCGCGTAGGGGTGGGCGTCCTCGCAGTGCACTCAGTCCACGTGCGACTGGTGATGGTAGCGAAGCGTCGTTACGCGTACAGCTGACAGATTATTATTTATTTTCGTAGCAGTGGGTGATGAACAAATTGGCCGACATACATTGTTAGACTTCTACTTGGTATCTTCATAGATGAGCCACATCGGTGGTAAATGGCGATCTCAACTGATGCGTGCAGTTGCTGTGTCAATGGCGTTCCTGCATTCCATCTCTTGCGCACCTAGCTGCTAATATGTCATCTGGGTTTGCTGCGGGAACGTCGTGATCCCACACACAAATACACAATTGCGCCGCGAACTCCAATGCGCGGGTTCCATTTCATACCCACAACGCAGCAGCTTCCAGCCAGTCCAAGTTAGTGCACAGCTGTGCCAAAGAGAACAAGAATCTTTGTTAATCACACGCTCGAAGTGGTGATTCATTTCGCCCACAAAATGAACCACTGTGGCAACCATGTTCGGCCTTTGTGAGTTGTACAAGAACCCCCCCCCCCCAAGTGCCCGCCTCGCCTTCTGTCTTTTCATTCGTTCGGTTGGTAGGGTCTTGCGTGAGTCACGTGATAGTGCGTCACTCTATTCCGTCAGCTTCACGTGCTTAGCAAGCGCATATAGGTTCGCGGGGTAGTGACCATCGATTCGACTGGTTTCGCGGGCACATTGTGTTAAGCGAATCCGTGCGCTGACTAGGGACCGTGCAACTTGCGGCTAAGCCATTGCGTCCAAGGGTATAACAAAACTCAAGAAAGTGGAGACGGAGGTAGGATCACATGACATTCCCGCAACAGGGTTCATTTCCCGACCAGTTTCTCTATCCGATTTGCATTCCATCCGTGTTGTCCTACTGTTGTCAATCAAGGGTAATACGGCGATCAGATCCACCTCTGTTGAGCGCTCAGACACATCGCTGTACCCAGAGATTACGAAGGTCAAGAACCGTAGCTGAGGAAGAAATTCATTTTAGTTCAGATGGAAAACCGTGATCCGAGCACCGGATTGCGGTGGATCGAGTTGCCATGAGTTATATCGCAATAATAATAATAATAATAATAATAATAATAATAATAATAACGGTAAGAAAATGAGGTTGAATGCAAATATAATGTAAAGAAAATGGAACCGAAAAGTGTGTTAATCTAATCGGGATGAAATGAAGATTGAGAGTTAAATGCAAGAAACAAAATGCAGGAACGCCATTGACTGCGCAACTGTGCTATGTCCGATAAGATCTCCAACCACTGTTGTGGACCATCCCGGGGTCCCCTGTGGTGGTACCTGGCGAGCAAGCAGCAATGGCCCCAGGCCTACCTCTTGCTTGCTCGCGTCGATAGCCCCAATCGATGACACCAAGCGTACAATAGATCTGGATCGGCGAGAACACACTCAAGTGAATGCCGCTAAAGGATCAACCAGGTGAAACGCGCCAATTTGTGAGTGACTCTAATGTGTGCGAGGTATAAAATGAATTTGTGCTCTTTTGAGTGCTGATCGAGGATCAAACATTGTTTTTGATTCACAGAGGGCCATTACGACATGGTGACAAAGGTACTGGCGTGCCAAATCGCGCTCGCCCTTGACGACAGATGACAGAAACCATAGTAGCAGATAAATGGAGGGCGTAGAAAGCGAAATGGATGCATTTTGACATGCTGATCCAGTTGGATGAATATCCGAGGTCATACCAGGTGGTCATGTTCCGGTACGCTATCGGCCATGAGGTGTGGCGTATAACGTAAGCGTGGAATTTCTGACCATGACCGAAAATCCGAAAATAATCGAGAGATTCGGTGACTATTGTGATAGTTGATTAAACCATTTCTCTAGTTGCAGCCGGTCGGCCAATGTCTATTCAGCGAACAATGGAGGTTCGCAATAGACGCAGGAGCCCACAATAAATTACCCAGAGAACCACGGAGAACAAGAGTGCCTATTTCCAACGCCATTCGCATAGGAACGACCAACATCATCAGATCTTCACCTAAGAGTCAATGACATGCCACACGCGAAAAACTGCAAGGTGCAGTGCAACACACAGTTGCTTCAATAGGTTCGACGGTCCGGTGCTACAGCTGAAGAGAAAAAACCGCCATGAAGGCTGTCAAGAAAATAAAGAAATGACTTATCAAAGTCAAAGAGACGCATGAAGATCCTCACCCCACGGGACTTGAGAGAAAAAACGCACTTTCTACCGAGATCGGGACAAGTACGATGTAGCCTTATTTTTCAGCCGCAGACGAAGGACGGTGCCAATCGCAACTAAGGTTCTGCTGCAACCCAAGCTAAATGGGACTGCCATTAAGCTAGACCGAAAGCTCGTCTGTAATCAACGAGGATATGGGAACTGTAACACAAAAAACACGAAGAAAAGAAAAAGGGGGGATGTGGTGGTAGCTGGTGAACGAATAGCAATGAGTTCAGGCCGACCTCTTCCTTGCATGCGATGGTCGCCCCCAATCGGCCACGAATGAACGTGTCGATGACGACAGGTGAATAAACGATCTGGATTGGTGAAAAAAGAACTCAAGTGGATGTCGC